TGGGGAGGCCTCGGCTCTGCTCGCGCGCCTCCCCGGCCTCTCCTGGATGCCCAGTCGGCGGGGGATGCCGACGCCCAAGGGCCAAAACATGCAGTCGGAGCGCTGAAGAAGGAACCCTTTTCGTTGGGGAGGGGCTCCGTGATCCATATTATTTTACAGTTTGTCTCAGGTTGTCCGTAAGGTTTTCGAGGGGCATCGAAGCTTAACTCATTGGAGAAAAGGGGCCTCGTTCCTTACTTATGGTTCCTTATGACAGCGTTTCGACTGTATCCAATCCCGTGGCCTTCTGAAGTCTTGATCGAGGAAGCCGTCGTCATCGACGTCAAAGAGGTGGATGTGAGACCCCTCACTGTTGTCGCCGACAACAGCGGCATCGCGAGCATACTCACAGCCAGCTGGCAGCTTCGCAAAAGCCACCCACGGCCACGACCATGTTCCGCTCCTCGACGCCCCGTTGGGGGGGGGGGCAGCGGGTTCTAGATTCTGACCCCAGACAGATTTTGGTGCATGTGGCATTCGGAAATCCCAAAACGGCGCGGTGACCACACCGTCGGGTGAGTCAGAGAGGAGTATTGGATCGCACGGTGACAGTACGTTGTTACGTTGTTGAACTTAAATCGTTCTCCGGCGATGATGTCCCCCGCGACCGGTGATGAGGAGGTCCCAAAACCGTGCGGCGACGGACCGTGCGGTGAGGTCTTTCACCGCACCGCTCTGGCACCCCAACCAGGCACCCCCGCGTGGCCGAGAGCCGAGCCAGACCGAGATCCGGGCCCAGGCTGGGCCTGCTGATGCCCGTGGGTGGCGTGGGCGTTCCTTCTCCCTGGGCGGCGACGACGCCGGCGACGGCGGCGGCATGCGGCGGCGGCGGCGACGCGGGCGCCCTAGGGCCCCAGGACTGGCTGGGCGGCACCGAGCGGCCGCAGAGCTCCGGAGCCTTTCCCTGGGGCCAGTTTCTCGCACCGGATCCATTCCAGATGTCAGGAGGAAAAGAAACACATAGACACAATGAATCGTCGATTCCCAGGAAAATATGGGAAAACATGGGAAGTGGGGGGGGAAGGCAGAAACCCAGAAAATAAGGAAAACATGGGGAATCTTTTTATTTGTGTGTATTTATTTGTGTGTCCCAGGGCCCCTTCAAGATGTTCCCTGGGGCCCGAGGGCGGCCCCCGGGAGAGCCGAGGTCGCGGAAGAGCGCCCAGGTGGCACGAATCACATCGTCGGAGACCTGGGCTCACCTCCGACGACGACGACGGCGGCGTCGACGACGATCGACGGCGGCGGCGGCCGCGCCCGTCGGCGATCTGGAGGACCGGCCCGGCGGCACCGTCCGGCTGCTGGACCTGCGGGCTCCGGGCACCGCGTCGGCGCAGGGGAGGGCGATCGCCGAGGACGCCTTCGGGGGCCCTGCCGAGCCGCCATGTCGTTGGTCGTTGTCGTGGGCGTGGTCGCCGTCGTTGTTTTCGTCGATGGCGTCGCGCCGTGTCGGAGGCGAGCACGCGAGGACAGAGTGCAGCCAGAGGGCGGCGGTGCCGAAGGACGGCACCGCATGTGCTAAATTCCCCCCTCTCCTCTCCTCCTCCTCCTCCTCCTCCTCCTCCTCCTCCCCCTCCTCCCCTCCCTCTCCCCTCCTCCCCTCCTCCTCCTCCTCCTCCTCCTCCTCCTCCTCCTCCTCCTCCTCCTCCTCCTCCTCCTCCTCCTCCTCCTCCTTCCTCCTCCTCCTCCTCGCTCTTCTTAGCCAGCGAAAGTTCTCTGACTGAAAACCTGCACACCAGAGGAATTATTAATCGCATTTTCCTGCGTGTGCTCGTTGCCGACATTCATTTTCCGACATGCTCAGCGCACGGTCTGCCCTCTAGGGGACCGCTCCGGTTACCCGAGCTGGCACGCAGACGTCCGTTCCCGTTTCCGTTCTTATATACACACATACATATATCCATTCATGCATACATACCTACATCCATCCATACAAATATACATACATACATACATACATACATACATACATACATACATACATGCATACATACACACGTACGTACATATTTACATACTTACAGACTTACATGCATACATAGATACACACATACATACATGCATGCATGCATGCATGCATGCATGCATGCATACATACATAAATACATACATACATACATACATACATGCATGCATGCATACATGCATGCATACATGTATGCATACATGCATACGCACATACACACACATACACGCATACACACACATATACATACATACATACATGCATACATACATACATACATACATGCACACACACACACATACACACGTACACACATACATACATACACACATACACGCATACATACATACATACATACATACATACATACATACATACATACATTCATTCATGCATGCATACATACATACATACATACATACATACATATATACATGCATACATACATACATACATGCATGCATACATACATACATACACCCATGCATAAAGCATGCATGCATGCATGCATGCATGCATACATGTAAGCATGCGTGCGTGCGTGCATGCATGCATGCATGCATGCATACATACATACGTACGTACGTACGTACATACATACATACATACATGCATACATATATACACATTTATACATACATATAAGTACGTACGTATGTACATACATACATGCATACATACACGTGTGTAAACATACATTTATATGTATAAGAGATTGTTGGTTCGCTTCGCTTCACCACAGCATCGGGTCCTTCATCCTCATTCTTGGTGCAGGAGCGCAGATCTGGCATCCCGCCGCGCTATGTGGACGACAGAGTGCTGTGCACTTGTCAACTTCGTGGATCTAGTGGTGTTGATGTGATGTGTGTCACGAGCTTGACGGCTTCGGGGAAATCGGGATGCTGTTGTTGCAGGACCAATCACGGAGCACAGTTGTGTCGGAGGTTGTGTTCGCGATGGTGCCAATGCTCGTATTGGACATCGTGCCAGTGGGTGTGCTGGTAGCCGTGCTGCTCGTCATGGTGGCGGTCGTGCTGGGGATGGTGCTGGTGGGCGGTCGCGCTGGTGGTTGTGCTTGTGGCCGCGCTGGCGGTCGCGGGGCCAACGTGGGCGTGGGTTTTGATGAGGGGCGAGCATGTCCAGAAGCGAAGAGCCACCCAACGGGCCGAACCACGGAACATCAACAGAAGCTTGGAACGTCAGAGGCGTGAACGTCGTCGCTGGCTTTGGGGGCCCTGGCGCTCAGAGCTCCTGACGTCATGGGGTTTGCGGGAGCCTTGGCGTTGAAAGCATTGTCGGGCGCCTCTTGGGGTCTCCAACGCGACACAAGGTGGCCTCACACATTGCGCAATCGAGGCAAAGTAAAGGACGCAACCGAAGCAAACACCACGTAGAATCATCCGCGCGGGCGCCAACGCACTTGCACATTCTGCTGGATACGGCGCCGCGCGCTTGACCAGGAGACGGCGCCCAAGCCCGCATGTTCAAGTGAGGCAACACAAAAGACCAACATAGAACTGAAGCTTACATATTTTCTATGGCACTGAACGCGCTGCTGGACCCAACGCCGCGCGCGGGGTGAAATCAGGGGTTTCGTGCATTTGTTTTGCGTGTGTGTCGGCAGAGGGTGGCAGCGCGAATTCCCGCGAACCCATGGATTTGAATGGTTTGTAAGTTCGTTGGGCGCCGTTTTGGGGCCTCATGGGGGGCTATTCGGGGCCTTTGGGGGGCCTCTTGGGGGTTTCCTGAGGGTCTCTTCGGGATCCCGCGGGCCTCTGGGGGCCGAGGGACCGAAACGTCTGGCCAGATCCCCTTCGGAGCATTTCTTGGAGCCGCCTTGAGGGCGTCTTGGGGCGTCTTGGAAGCCTCTTGGACCGTTTGGGGCTTTCTTGAGCCGTCTTGGGGCCGTCGCGGGAGCCTTTTGGGACGTTTGGGGACGATCTTGAGCGTCGGGAAAGGCACGCGCGAGAACTTGAAAAACCTTCAAAAAGCATCGGCAAATCAATGATTTTTGCCTCTGGGGGCCCTCTGGGGATGCCTCTTCGCGGCCTATTGGGGCGTCTTGGAGGCCTCTTGGGCCGTCTTGGGACCAACTGGGGCATCTTGGAGTGATCTCCGGGCGTCTCGGAAGCCCTCTGGGGCCGGTCGGACCGGCTCGGACGCAATTTCGGGTATTTTCGGAGTTGTCTGGAGGTCGCCCAGAGCTCATCGGGGGGGGGCCCTTATCATTTGATTGGGAAAAGGAGTGTACATATTCATATGTATATAGTATATATGAATATGTATGTACTACATGTGTGTGTGAACATGGATGCAGGCTTGGGATGGACATACATATGCACGTAGAAGGTAGACATGTGTACATGCTTGTCTACACATGTGTACATACATACCTATATATATATATATATATATATATATATGTGTGTATGTATGCACAAGTACGTGCACGCGCACACTGCTAGAGTGCTTCAGGAGATCGGAGTCCCGCCCAGGCCACGGGGGAAAGGGGGCGAGACGGTGGGGGGTGCAGCGCCCTCTGAGCCTTCGCCCCCCTCGGTGCCGCTGTCGCCAGGGGGGGGGGCGGCGAGATGCGCAATCGAGCGCAGAGACAAGCGCCAGCGGTTATCGCAACGCTGGCGCCTTGGCCCGCCCTTCGGGCGAGAGCCCCGTGTCGAGCCGGAGGTGTGCTGCACCCTGCTGGCGAGTTGCCGGGAATGCCCGAGCGCAGGATCATGCAAGGTCCACGGGGTGTCCGGCGAGGGCCCCGTCTGGGAAAGGAGCCGCCAACAACTCGTGTAATTGAGGAGGAGGAGGAGGAGGAGGAGGAGGAGGATTGCACGAATGAAAACTGTTGGTCCGTGAATTTGGCGAATTCGGAAGCCCAGCGAGAGCCCCAGATGGAAAGAAAACCGCCATTCCTTTGTAGTTAATTGGTGGGAGCTTTTAAGACGAACGCGCGCGGTACGAATGCGAGAGCCACATGTTGGGAAGGACCCGCCTTTCAGCCTTGCAATACCTCCGCCTACATCGTTGTCAATGCTGCACGTTTGTACTACGGCTGCGCGCGTGACGCAAAGGCGAGAGCCCCATTTTGAAAGTTGTTTCCCCACCGCCCGAGTAGCTTTTACAACATTCAGGTTCGGTTCGCATGTATGCTCAGAATTCCTCTCGCGAAGCGCCCAGGCCCGCAACGCTGGCACGATTGGGAGTTGCGACAGGGAGGAGTTAGGAAGAAGGTACAGGCATGGAGGAGGAAGGAGAAGAGAAGGATCCCCCTGGCCAAACGCCGGGCCCGCCCCACGGACACGATTGGGGGCTGGGACAGGGAGGAGTTATCTATGAGGCAAAGGTGCGGAAAAATGAGGGAGAGAGAGAGAGGAGGCAAAAGAAGGACCGTGGTGTGCCTCTCCGCACCTGCGCGCCTTGGCCGACTGTGGCGTCGGTCTGGCTCCCTTGCCAAAACTCCGCCGCGGTCGCTCCGTTGCGGCCTCCCCGAGCGGCTGCAGCTGCTCCTCGCCCGCCCTGCGCTGCTCGCCCTGCGAACCGGTGCGAGGACGGCGGCGACGACGGCGAGCGGCGAGCGACGGTGGCCAGCGAGGCAGGGAGGAGGAGGAGGAGGAGGAGGAGGAGGCCGAGGAGGGAGGGAGCGAGGAGGAGGAGGCCGAGGAGGAGGAGGCCGAGGAGGCCGAGGAGGAGGAGGCCGAGGAGGAGGAGGAGGAGGAGGAGGAGGCCGAGGAGGAGGAGGGAGGGAGCGAGGCAGGGAGGAGGAGGAGGAGGAGGCCGAGGAGGGGCGGCGCAGCGAGCGGAGGCGAGCCGATCCAGACCCCCTCCCGCCCCATCCCTCCCTGCTCGTCGACGACCGCGGCTGCGTTTTGGCCCTCGCCGCTCGCGGTCGTCGCCGGCACTCCCCCTCCCTGATCGTCGACGACCGCGGAGGGGGAGGGCCAGCGACGGCCGCGAGCGGCGGCGGCCCAGCACGGCGGGGCAGGGCGTCGAGGGGGTGCACGGGCTGTGCTGCTCCCCGCTCGAGGAGCACCTGGCCGCGTCGCCGCCCGCCGCCTCCTGCTCCGCCTCATCCCCCTCTCCTCCAGTCCCTTCCCGCCCACTTCCCCCGTCCCTTGCCCTCCACCTCCCCCCCCCTTCCCCCGCCCTTCCCCCGCCCTTCCCCCTTCCCCTCCCCCCCATCATGCGTCTGTCCTCCTGATCCTCCTCCTCCTCCTCCTCCTCGCCCACCTCCATCGATGTGGTCCTCCCCCTCTTCCACCTCTTCTCCTCATTCCCCCTTCTGTTGTTGCGGCGGCAAATTGCAAGCGATTGGTAGTTGTCGTTGCTGGTCCATCCCTCCACCGTTATTCCCGGTGTTTCCTCAGCTCCGCGCGTGTGCCTAGTCTCTGCATTTGTGTACGTGTGTGCGTGTGGTTCGGTTTGTTTCGCAGTTGGACTATTTCTGAATATCATGAGTTCGTGCCGGCCGTTGCTATGTTGGGCGTGTTCTTGCTTGGCGACATCGGGTCTGTTACATGGAAGTGAGAGCGAGGGCAGACGTGGCAGAAGGAGGAAGCCCGACGATCAATGCCCATCTCAGAGGTCCTACGGTTATGCAGATGGCAGGGAGGACGCTTGCCAGGCGCATGTCTCTCCTTTGTCGCTTTCGGTTGCTCCCTCGCGCCAAAGATGCAGCTGCACCACCGCAGAATCCATGCCAAGGGCCGGTAGCCAGGGCACACATCCCCAAGCCATTGACCATTCCTCGTCAAACCCTCGCAGGCGACCCTGTCAACGGTCTCCAGGCTTGGCGCAGCAGGAGGAGCAGCAGCAATAGGCGGGGGCCTGAGCACTAGGCGAAGGAGGATCAACAGCAGCAGCACGAGCACAAGGGGTGCGAGGTGATGAGGAGGAGATGAGCAGCAGCAATGGGAGTGGAACGGGGGCGGGGGGGTAGAGTGATAAATAGGGAGGGGGGCGGCAGGAACGGGAGGAGGAGGAGGAGGCCCAGTGTAAACCCAAGACGCACTGACGGTGTTGCAATCAACCCTCCCTAAAAGTTCCTTCCTCATAGTTCCCTAGAAGAATGTATCCAGTTGCCTGCGGGAAACGCCGCCACCGTGCCTGTGCAACAGCGCAGCAGTGATGAAATCTAGTGCAGGGAAAATGCAATGCCGACGCTTGATCCAAATTGGGAAAGGCGTGACATCGACCTCGTTTTCGTCCTCGCGGTGTGAAGTGAAAAGAGGACTTCGGTGCCTTCCTGGAGCGTTTTATGTAGAGCCGCTTTAGGGGCCCACTTGGGAGCCTCATGGGCGATGTTGGGGTCCTCTTGGCCGATGTGGGGCCCTCTTGGGAGCCTCGCGGGCTGTCATTGGAACTAGATCGGAGGCCTCTTTGGCCGCCTTGGGCGGTCGGGGACCCAAACAGACGAGAACCTCAAAGTCCTACCACAGCCCGACGGAAATCAATGAGGCTTGCCTTCTCGGTCTCTCCTGGACGGCCTCTTGAGGCACTCTTGGATGCCTCCTGGAGGGCCGATCGGGGCATCTCGGGCTTGTCTTTGGTGGCCCCTGGCCTGCCGGACGCCTTCGGAGGGCCGTCCTCTCTGGGCCGTCCTGGTGCACTCTCGCAGCGCTCCAGGGCCGCCTTGGGGCCCACTCGGGAGCCCCCTGGGCGATGCTGGGCACCCGCGCCGACAACCCGCGAGCCCGTGGCGCGGAGCCGGCTCGCCCCAGCGGCACGTCGCGGCCGAGTCCAGAGAGAGCACGCGCGGGCCGCCGTCGAGCCACAGCGGCGCGCCCGCGCAGACGCCCGCCTCGTCTCCCCGCGCCCACGCCACGCGCGGCCCTCGTGGGCCGATGCGGGGCCATCTTGGGAGCCTCGCGTGCCGCCTTAGGGCTATCGTGGAGGCCTCTTTGGCCGTCTTGGGCGATATCAGGCCCAAACAGGCGAGAACTTCTAAAACTTTTTTATTGTAATAATAAAAGATGATGAGTGCCTCTTCGGGCTTTCCTGGAGAGCCTCTTGGAGCCCTCTTGGGCCGTTTGGGGAGCCTCTTGGGCTGTCGTGAGGCCGTCTTGGGAGCCTCTCGAGCCGTGTTGAGCCGTGTTGGTGTCGTCTTGGTTGTCTTGGAAGCCGTCTTGCGGGCCGTCTTGGCCGCTTGAAGGCTGAAAAGAGCGTCGCGGAGCGATGTCAGGGGGTGCGGCCCCCCGGGGGGCGGTCTACGTTTGCGCGTGCGAACCAGGGAGGGGGTCGGCCCTAGAAAACATTAAACATAGTCCCAGAGGAACCACAGGAGCCTTCAACACGCCCGCTGCGTGCAGGCACGGTGGCGGATGTTCATTGCGGGACGTTCCCCATTGAAGACAACCATCTCATGATCTTCAAGCGTGCCAAAGCAGAAGTCCTAAGACTTCAGCGCAGAGAATCAACGTGACTCGTCTTGAAAATATCAAATCGTGCCAGAACACCGTTCCTGGGACTTCGACACATCGAATTAACGTGACTGCTGCGCCTTGGCGATCCTAAATCGTGCCACGACACCGTTCCTGGCACGTCAACTACACGAATCTCTGAAATGGCTGCCAAGTTTTAAGAGAAATGAGGGCGGCGCCAAGGCGAGAGCCGCATTTTGAAAAGGAACTGCCCTGCACCCGTGAAGTGGCTCCAAGCGTTTGAGACACACGGCAGTGGCGCTACAGGTGGAGAAGGAGGAGGGGGAGGAGGAGGTGGAGGAGGAGGAGGAGGAGGAGGAGGAGGAGGAGGAGGAGGGAGGAGGAGGAGGAGGAGGAGGAGGAGGAGGGCCCTGAGAAGGCGGGAGGAGCGGCGAGGAGGAGGGGGGGGGACGTGATCGAGCATCTGTCCAGCGTCTCTTGCTCAGATGGCCCCCTTCCGCATCCTGCCGCCCGTGCGCCGCGCCTGCTCCGGCGCGCCAGCGAGTTGAGGGGGCACGGCCCCTGCGGGATCTGTGCTCTGCTCGATTGGCAGGTCGGCTGCCACACGTTGTTGCCATGGCAGTTGCCTTCTCGCTGGCTGGCGTTCAGCAGTAGGGTTTCTCGCCCGCCCTCGTCCTCCTCATCTGGCGTCTCCTCCTGCATCCTCCTCAACAGATGCACGGGCATGGCCCAAAGCTCAACGCTCAGTCACGCTACAATTGATCTACCTCGTTCGTACCACTCTGCCACAACACCACCCCGTTCTGACCTGCCTCGGTCGTGCGCGTAAGATCGTGGGAGGTGTTCGTTGGAGTGGGCTCGATCGCTGAGATGCCAAATGTTGGACCCCCAGGGAGAAAGGATTGGGAAAGGGGGGGAAGGATGTATGGGGGAGGAGTGGGGAGTGTGGTGAGGGAGAGAAGGAGTTGGCAGAGGGAAGCGGGAGTGGGAAGGGATCGGGGAGGGGGCAGGAGGCACTGCGAGGAGGGTGGAGACACGGCGGAGAGGGGGAGGGAGTGAGGGGAGAGAGGAGTGGGCAGGGGGCAGCAGGAGGAGGTGGAAAAAGAGGGGACGAGGGGAGCAATGTGAGAGAAGGAGGAGGAGGAGGAGGAGGAAGAGGAGGAGGCGGAGGAGGATGGGGAGGAGGGTGCCCCTACCCATCCTTCAACTGCTACTGCTGGTGTTCCTCTCTCTCCCCCTCCATCCCCCCCGCATCGTCCAGGGCCGCCCTGCCTCTAGAATAATGCAGGTGCCCGCGCGTTGTCCAAGCAGCCTTTCTGGAGCCTCTGCGGTAGGCACGCGCGGTGCCCTCTTCGACGACGACCCGCAGGGCAAAGTCAGAGCACCAGCTTGCAGAAGGGGGCGGCTTGCGTTGAACGCGGCCCCACGCCTGCGAGCGCACGGGGAGCTCGATGGCACCCAGAGCCTGCACTCTACAGCGGTCCTGAGGGCGCCGGCCTCCCGCACCCTGCTATTCGGGGGTGGGCTCGACTGGCAGAGGCGCCGGCACCTCTGCGCCGACGGCTGCATCGATGCCTCTCCGCAGGGCCCTCTCTACTAAGAGGAGGGC